TTTACATTATTCTAGCATTTGTTTGAGAATGGAGTACCACAGGGCATAGATAGAAGCAGCTAGAGCACTCAAGAGCTCATTGCATCCGTGCAAAGAGGAAAAGCACCAAGACAGCAGCCAGGAGGAACGGGAATGAGGTCAGATTGTGCGTGCATGCAGCAGGGGAGCCCTTAGGTGTCCTGGTGCATAGGACTTGAGGTGGGAAAGAAAGGCACCCGAGGGTTGCGACCTAAGTATCTGGGAAAATAGAGGTGCCTCAGCTGAGATATGCGAGCATGTGTGGGAAACTGATTTCGGTTTAGGACATGTTACAGTGACAGGTTGACTTCTATCTGAGAAAAAAGTCAAATGGTGTTTGGACATACAAATCATAGTTCAGGGCAAGGCCGGGGCCAGAGATGGAAATGGGAGGATTATAGATACACAGATGGTAGAGTTTTCCCCTTGCCTTGGCCCCTCTTGACTCTCTGATCCCTCTGACCCCTTCCCTCCCATGTTCCCTCCATTTGTCCCTCCATGGTGCATTCCTATTTCTTCCCATGTTTGTCTTAGCAGTTCAGCTTGCCGACCCCAATCTTCTTCTGCCTGTAATAGCACGTGCCCTCCTTAGGAGGCATGTTTGGTTGCAAATAATACTAAGAGCATGGGTTTTACCAGCTCACACTCTGCAAGGGTGAACCACAGATTTTCTCCCTGAGGAGTAATAAGAAATGGAAAAGAACACTGGGTGTATGAGTCGGGCCACAGCAGTCTGCTCCCCTGACTCAAATCCCTGCCTGGTTTTTAGGACACTTAGAGTAAGAAGGAATGATTTCATATTCTTGATGTCTCCAGACACTGGCTAGTCACCAAGGCAGGAAATCCAACTGCAAAGTCAAACCTGCTCTGTGCCACATCACTGAGTGTCTCCGTGTCTTCATCCTCATTTGTGATACGGTCTCATGTTACAGGCTCGTGGTGAGGGCTGCATGCCACGTACATGCAATGTGCCTAGGTCAAGGCCCGCTCACGATGTGCACTCAGTCAGTGAGCTGTTGGGGATACACACGTGAGGAGACATCCAGGATCACGTCAGGATGATCTTTGTTTTCCCTCCAGGTGTGGCAGGTGAGAC